AAAAGATCTTCCATATAAAAAGGAAAGCTTCTATTTTAAAAATGAAAGATATCATTCTTCTGGCAGACGTACCCAGGAATGGATTATAAGTAACAAGGATGTGGAGCAACTGGTAAAATGAAGCAGCCCACAGCTGCTTATACATTTCTAATGGAGGAAGGGATCAGAAATATTAAATGTTTTGAGCAAACCTGGAGGGGACTCTGTCACAGATCCATCCAAGCATGAATTGTTCTGCAGATGATTTTGATCAAAGGGACGTGGGAGAACTGCATTTACTTCCTGAATCAGTTAACCTGGTTTCTCTGCAGAGATACGGACTCCCAATTTGTTTCTTTAGCAATCTTAAAGAGAAGAATCCCTACTGGAAACAGCTCGAGTGAGATGACTGTTATATCTGAGGATAGACCTGAGTGCATTCAGATATCCTTCTGGCATGCTAATGGCTAACAAGATTTGGATCTTAGAAAGGCTCTAGAGTCACTGTTAATAGCTGGTGAAGCCTACTTCTACTATCAAGCTTTCGTGAGAAGGATTAAAAATGGGTTGGCAGCTCCGCTAGTTTGCTCTGGGTAAGACTTTCAAGCAAACAGCTAAAATATGTCTTGCCTGATGCGCACCACCATCTCTCTTGCTTTCTTATGTGGCAATCCTGCAGTATATTCCAACATGAGGAAATCACCAGAGCTGCTAATAGGCTAAATTATAGGCAGCCACCTTAACTGCGCTTTGATAGTCATTTTACCAATCTGCAAATGTCCTGGTTGAGATCACAGGAGATTAGGGAGTATATACAGACTATGAACTATACGAGCATGTGGGATTTAAAAACTGCTGTGTTTTCATCCTCAGCAATAGAATTGTTTGCCTAAAAAAAAAGCAGCAACAGATGCAATGCAGTACTCCTTTTATCAATTAGCAAATGTCACCAAATGCTAAGAGAGAGAAAAATCTCATTCCCTGGAATGTACAGTTTGTGTTTCTGAGCTAAAAATGCCTTGAATCAGAAATGCACTTAATTAGCTTTCTGAAAGAAAATGAAGTGACCATCCACACAGAATTAAATAAAATCCAGAGTGTCTGTTTTCCTTCCCCCACTTAACCTTGTCTGTCCAAATTGCGCAAGTTCTTTACAGGAAGACCAGTCAATCACTTTGAATTTGAGCAGCATCTAACATCATGGGACCCTTGATCAAGAGTCCTTAAAAGCAACCAAAAAACATATAAGTAATTTATGCTGTATATATAATCTTGACTAGAGAATAAGATAGGATATGACACCATGAATGTCCCCGTGGCATTAATAGCTAACATGAATGTTTAGACATACGTGGGGGGAAAAAGGGATGTAAAAGCTGGGATATTGTGATTAGCAGTTACTGAAAGTAACATTAATTTTAGCACACAGGGCAAATTAGGAGCTAGGTTTAAGAATAGTACACAGAAAAGGATTCATTCCCTTAAGGCAAAATATAGTATATAATTAAGATCAAGCATTTGTTACTCTAGGCTGTATCTGCCAGAAAGAAGCAGGCGTCCTGGCAAGATTTTCTAACATGCATGACCTGTGTGTTGCCAATTACTGTCTATTTGGACTATATGTATACAAGGTGCTGCCTAATCCAAGGAGTACAGCACAGAGATAAAACAGTGAATCCTGCCTTAAGCAATGTCTGTCATCTTTATCCCTAGGATTCTGACTACCACTATACTAACAATGTGCAATACTCTAAATGATTGAGTCTTTATTTAAAACAATGGTGGAATTTTTCACTCTGTTTCTCAGTTGGGCATGGCTGCTCCCCAGTTTGATTCAGCTTGCCCTGCATGCATAGATCCCCCACTGTCGTCGCTGAAGACAGACACTGCTCTTAGAGCCACACAGCAAATCTAGGCTATTTTCTCTATATGTGAAGATCCCTAGAGCATGCAGAAAAAGCAGAGGAAAGACATACTATAGGGAGCTCAGAGCACTACTGTATCCCATGAAATCTGAAGAATGCATCTTGCCAGAAAGTACAAGCATATGTCAGATTTGCAGCCTAAAGCACTTGTTTTTCTAAGCAATACACTGATTTCTCAATGTTGGGTTGAGCACCTGTTTGCTGTAAAACTAACTATATTATTCTCATTTTTAAAGAGGAAAAGACACCACTCATTTGTGAATCTCTCTATATATACTTCAATACACAAATTAACAAATATTTTTGCAGCTTAGATTCATTTTAGAAAATTCCAAGAAATGCCACCAAAGATAAACTTGACTCCTGCAAACAATGCATAGTTTACTACACCAGTTCAGGGAATTTTTTTATATTATTCTGTAAGCCTATTTCAACAATGGAATAGTAATAAGAATTTGCAGTGTATGGTTAGTGTCTTCACTCTTAAAAATTTATACAGCTGTCTGCAGGCTATGTGATCTAAAATATTTCATGCAAAGAAGTGAAGAAAATGAAAAATCGATTCTTTTTAAAACAGAGACAGAATCTTGCTGCTTTTTCTTTATTTCTAGTTAATGCTTACACAGGTAAAAACTATCAGAGCTTTAAATGGTAGTACAAAAGTACGCACTGTAATTCGTGGAATAAAAATCTGTAGCAAAAACCAGATTCACACATAAAAGAAGCCCCTCTTAATCTGTCTGCCTCAGTGGCTGTGCTGCTATTGGCTTAGTCATAGCCTCTTCTACAGTTTACATGCCATGAAGTAGAAGCTCAATATAAGGTGCAGAAGCACTAACGTCTATTTACCAACTAAATATCTCTAAGTTTATAAGGTCAGTCTCCCATATTCAGTGTCTTCTAGTAGAATTCTCACCACACTCCTCCATTAAAAACAATCCAGTCAAATCCACCCTTCTGTCCGTTTGATATTCAATGCAGGCATGCAATCCTGCACTGTTTGTGCTGTTGTTTACATTAGCAAGCCGTGTCCAAGTGGCATTTTTAGGTACTTACAATTTCTGCTTCCTATACCATAATAGAATATGGAGCAAAGTCTGGAGTTAATCTTTCTTCCACACTGAAGAACAGTCATGTCACAGTGATATATAACAGACTTCAAAAGAGGAAAAAAAGAAGGAGCAGAGGAATACTGTGTCTCATTGCAACTTCAGGTGCATTATAACTATTTTAATTTCAATTTATCAGCTATGACAAGTTCTTTCATCCTTCTGAAAGTGCTACAAGACTTTTTGTGAAAGAGTTCAGTGTGTCATGTCTGTTCTAATTGCTGTGTCTGTGACCCTTGCATGCAGTACCAGGACACTGGTTCAGCAGTAGCTCTCCATTCCACCATCCCACAGGATCTGTCTCTTTTCTAGACATCTTCCTTCCGTCTTACTGACTGGTCCAAATGAGTCTTTGAGATTCAAAAATATTTTTCCAGGGAGTTATATGGATTTAGGACACCAAGTGATTGCTGTGTTGTTTTTAAAATGCACACAAAAATGGGTTAATGGAAGCAGCCTAAAAGGTCTAAAAATATCCTGACTCATTATTTTTTCCTGTCATCCTGAACACTGATAGCCTTGCTTTCAGCCAAAACACTCCTGTTTGCTATCGCCCACTGTGTCATGTAAATGCATACAGTTTAAGGCAATGTTACCTCAGATGTCCCTGCCCTGTACTCTCAGGAAGAGCAGATACAAGTCTTGTCTCCACCTTTTTGGTGGGCTAGCAACGTCACAGAGAGAAGGACAGCACACATACAGAGTATTAGTCAGAGATACCTCTTTTCTTTATCATACTATCACCTGGGATGAAAGTAATGGCAAAGGTAGGCCCTTAAGTATTTGCTACCTGGCTTGCTTTGAATACAACTTAAGGGTTGTTGAGAGCATGAGAAGGATAGGCATTGCCAGGGAAAGGCAAGAAATGGAAGAGATTAAAAATGAAGAGGATGAAAAGGGCAGGGAACAAAGAAGAGGTGGCCCATATTTACCGTACCCACTCACCCATATAACATGACAAAACTAAGACAGTAAGAGAAATATTCAGCCCATTTATCTTCTGTAATTGCCTGCATATCCATGCTGTTCTGCAGGAAACACGTCCTGTTCTTTTGCACTTACACACGCATACACAGCTCTGGACTATTTATAGAAACAGCACAGGCTTTAGTGAAAGCCAATCAGTCCTTTTAGGAGGCTTGTTTCTGTATCCGCATCGTTTCAAGAAGGGACATCACTAGTTAGTGTAACTGAACATCTGTTCTTTGGGGTCTCTATCTGTACAAGAGAGCACAACCACTGAAATAAACATAGATGCTTTCTGATATTTTTAAGGTGAAAAAGAAAAAAAAAAGGTACACTGTACCAGTGTTAGCTATAGTAGATAGATGTACTAAAAACCTCCCCCAAACCAACCAACCCCCACATTTTTCAATGTTACTTGAAAATTACTATCTGCATTAGTTCTGTTAGTCATGAAAGTATTTTACTCATATTTCTGTGTTTGTTTGCTTTAAGAAGAAAAGACAAAGTCCATTTCACAGTTTAAGCAGCAGCATAACAAGTTATAAAGAGATTGCTATGTCCTTGCAAAATAGAGGGTGGGCATAGCACATCTTTAAGAAAGGTTAATTCAATAGGAGAAAATAGTGACACATGATTTACAAAGGACTGTGGAAACTACGTTTACTTTAACAATAAAAGCCAACTTGAAGTGTTGCTCCAAAACCAAGGTAGGAAAAACCAAAGAAAATATGTAGACAACTTTATAATCACTACCAAGATTCTCTGTTAGGGACAAGTGATCTCAGGAGTACAGATGCGTTATGAGTTCACGTACTCAAACTTAGATCTTTTAAGTGCACAGTTTAAACACAGAAGCTGCAAAAACAAACTGCAAATAATTTTGCAATAGTAGCATCTATATAAATATTAAAAACAAAAAATATCTGAAAACTGATGTCAATCATATGCTAATAAAGATGGGATATTTGTTTATTTTGTTTGCTTTAAAGACTAGTGAACATCCATAACTTGAAGACCAGTCATGGGTACTAGATACTTTCTTCTGAAGGATGAATTTTCTAGGGTGAGTCAGCAATGATTAATGATTGATACTGGGTATTGGGATAATGACAGGAAGTATATTTTTCACTGTATTTTGTTGAAAATACAGAATTATTGCAAAGATGGAAATTGCAAAACCACCAAAGTCTTAACTTACTATCTCATAATCCATTCCTAAAAATCCAGTAAGCTTCTAGGAACATAACACTTGTTTGCAAGACCCATATGGTATTTTAGAACACCCACAGTTGTGAACTTGACATGCAAGGGAGAAAGCAGTTGTTGGTGAGGAAAGTTTCATAATGATATACAATCTGTTTTAATATGGGTAAAGAGAAGAAAGGGCAGCAAGAAGCATACATAATAAAACACAAATGCTAAATGGACACTTCTGGGGACAGACTTTGATTCCTTTTGTTTTTCCCCAAGATAATGTATCTATGACAACGTTACAGTAGCGTCTAGATGGGTTCGGTCAAGATCACTGTAGTTCACGGTTAGTGCATGCTCATTCGGAACTCTCTGAAGGATTGAAAGTCTAACAGCAACACAGGGAAAATCAGAGACAGAGAAAATGCTGTTTCAGCATTAGCCACAAGATAGGAAAATTGGGAAAATACATGAACTTCTTGAATGCGACAATAAAATTCCAAATGCTTAAATCTTTTTTTCCTGCAGAAAATGGTCTATAATTTTGATGAATTACTGATGGTTTTTCCTGTCCAATTTCTCTCATCAGTGTTGCTAGTAACAATCCTTGTAGTGGAAGGGATTGCCGTTGCACAGAAGACACAAGGTACAATTTTGGTTTGATGATTTTCTTTCAAAAAAATGTAACAGTTTTATAATTTTTAATTAAGCAATATAAGTGAAAGAAAGTGTTTGTGTTTGGGTATTAATAGCTCTTGAATTACCAATATGAATTCCAGTATTTTCCATTTTCCCCCTATTTACCTCATTTTCTTCGAACTGAACAAAGCCATTTAGTCGCAAAGAACATGGAAGTTCACTTACCAAGATAAAATTCTATGGTTTTAGACCTTAGAGGTGGGGAAAAAAACATGGAAATTCATATTTTCTGTATCTGATGACAAGCTTTTCAAATAGTCCACCCACAAACATTTTTGAAACCTGCTGAGTGGGGAAAGCATCAGTTTCACAAACCTTATTTTCTCCTGTGTGGAGTTTACCCACACATAGGAGAGAAGAATTCCTTGAACTAACACCTACAGATTTTCCTTGAACAATTTCTGCAGGAGAGACTAAGTTTTCACCCCCATAAATCAAAAAGCTGCCAAGATACCAGTGGAAGGTGATGTAATTTACTGGAGGCAGCTAAGACCTGTATCAGCATGGGCTCCCTCTCAAAGGTCTGCAAAGAAAAACTGCATAAATATAAATAACTTTATGAGAGCACCCTGTGAGATTCAGGAAGAATCTAGCAGAAACCATATATCCTGCGTCTAACTTCTCTCCAGTTCTGCTGATATCAAGGAGAAGGGTCAAAGGTACCTACGAAAAATGTCAGAGAGATCATACTGTTCCCAACTCCTTTCTCCTTGGACAGGAAAGCTGAACTAACAAAGCTCCTGTGAATGGTCTAGCGTGGTGCACTAGCTTAGCAAACTGCATAATCTCTGTCAAGGATCTTATTTGCCTGTACACACAGAAGAGCTTTGATCTTAAATGAGACCTTAGCTACAAGTGCAATCTACCTATTGCTAGCAATTTTATTAAATACCATTGCTGTGTTTAGTGTATTTTCATACTATAATTCATTCTGTAATCAGCATTCTGTATTCCAACAAATTTTTGTAAGTAGATATTTAACCTCAGGGCCATGGACTTCAGTATACTCTGGAATCAGGACCAAAAATAGTAAAAGCTAGAAAATATTTTGTATTACATTTGCATAGGAATGGAGAAGATGTAAGCCATAAAATAATGCTGCTGTCTTGGCAGCCACTGTGACTATTTGACTTAGAAAGAAGAGCATCAACAAATCTAAACTGACTTGAGTAAAAAAAATTACTCCCTCTCTTCCCTTCCCAAGGATTACTGGACATACTTGATATTCAAAAACTGTCATCTCTTTAGGATATACCACATCACTAAATTAAACATAAGATTTTCCTAGCTAGATATTAACAAGTGGCATGTAAGAGGGTTTTCAACCAAAATAAATTACTTTCTTCTTTTATAGGGTACGTGTTATGTCAGTGTTTTACTTGCAAAATTAAATTTGCATGCTTGCAGCAGAAATTATTTGATTGCTTTTTTTGTTTGCTTAAGGTGGGCAAAATATTGGAGTGAATCGCATTCCTCCTACCCAGTGTGACAATTGGGTACGGACAAGTAATGGAGGACATTTTGCTTCACCAAACTATCCTAACATGTACCCACCAAATCAAGAGTGCATCTATATCTTAGAAGGTACATGCTGTATTTCTGTTGTGTTGTAATCTTACTGTTAAATGGATAATCTTGGACTGTTAAAACTGTGTCATTTTACTATACTGTCAAGCATTGTATAGCCATACTGGTAATGTAACCAATTCTGTAGTCATTTGGTTGAACAAGAAGCTAAATTTGCTCTCTGAAGTAATAACAACAAATTAATAGAAAATGCAAACATTCAGAAATCAGCGGTATGGAAGACAACATACCCTCATAGCCAGAAAAAGCAGCATCAGGTCTACTGTAATCTATGAAGGCACAGAACTATTAAGATAAAAAGTGTAGCTTGTTATCTTAATATCACTTCCAATATTGCTGATAATAAACTACAAATGATGGTTGATGACTATCTTCAGTGTTTACCAGACCATACTGTGTTACTGTCTATCTCTCAAGCAGAAAATCTTTATGCTGTCCTTTATTAATAAAAAAGACACATTTGACTGCCATAGCACTGCACTAAAAATAGGGAGATTTGTTAGCACTGCTGAGGTCACTATTAAACTTATGTGACGAGGATCAAAAAATTTCATTAACTAGAATAAAACCACATGCCAATAAGAATATCTTGGATAAAGGGTGCAAGACTTGGGACACATTAATTGTTTTTTCCTCTTATTAGAATGCACCCAAAACCCACTGAAATCAGCTAAAGACGTTGGTCACCTTAATCATTGGATTCATATCCATAAATTGAAATATTTCAAGTAATATGTTTCAGTCAGTTTTTATTTGTACAGGATAGTACTGCTTCATAGACACCCTCATTTTTGCTTGTATGCATGCACATCTGAAGTTTTGCATCTTCCCTGCCAGTGAAGGCACGAGAGAGCAGGTATCCTGTCCAGCTTCAGAGTTCGGACACACCAGATCCATTGCCGAATCTCCCTTGCACAAAGCAGTTTCCATGGGGCACAGAATCCGTTTCCATGCCTCTGTCCTCACAGTCCTTATACAGAAACAGTATGGGTACCTGGGTGAGACCAAGGTCCTCCACAATTTCTAGCTACGATATAGTCCTTCCTGCAGACCACTGCCAATAATGTGCATACAGCTACAAATGCTTTTGACTCATGTATAAGGTGCAAGGTCTAAACGGAATGTGAGACACACATAAGTAAATTCTTTTTGCATTCAAAAGCAGCAGACAGCATGTGATTCTTTAATGCTGTCATTCCAGATACCAATTAGTATCTGAAAGTTCATGTAGCTCAATAGATGACAAGAACAAGAAACACTAAAGCTATTCATACAATATAAAATTACAGTTCCAAACTACAGATGTGAAATTCCGGTCACAAAGTAGCCATAGCTGCATCTCATCAGGATTTAGGGGTCTGATCCAAATCCTGATGTTAGACTGTCACTGGTTCAGACTTACCAACATCTGTAGTCACCTGCATATTAATAATATCTATGAAGCATTTATGCTTCTCTGAATATTCTAATAAAAGATGTCTCCTGCCAAAGGATCTCCAAATCTGGGCTTAATGTTTAGGAAATATACCAGTGAGTAGTTCTTCATATCTTTTTCTTTTCCCTTTTCTGCATCCCTCAAGTGTTTTGTCCTTTTTTTATGTACATTGGTTTCACAGAACATTGGTTTTAATTTATATCTTAATATTAAACCTTGTTTGAATACCTTTGCATATATGTTAATCTGTTACATGTCCTGAGTTAAATTTATGTAATTTCTGAATGTTCAACAATAAAGATCAGCAAGCAAAGAAAAAAATGCGTACAATTCCATGAAAAAGTATCTTCTACACAATATTTTTTCCAGTTGTAATTACAGTGTGTCTTGAGGTTTTGTAGCAGACTGCCAGATGTATTTTGAGAAGTTTCCAATCTCTCTTATTTTGCTGTTTTGGAGGCTTGTCTCTTCATTATTTCATGTCTTCATCTGTTTTTTATATAGATCTTCATTTAATCTTTTGCTCAATTTTTTATGTCTAGCTGCTCCACGGCAAAGAATTGAGTTGACCTTTGATGACCCTTACTACATAGAACCCTCATTTGAATGTCGGTTTGATCATCTGGAGGTTCGAGATGGACCTTTTGGTTTCTCCCCTCTCATTAATCGTTACTGTGGTCTAAAAAGTCCTGCACTAATTAGATCAACAGGGAGATTTATGTGGATCAAGTTTACTTCTGATGAGGAGCTGGAAGGAAAGGGATTTCAGGCAAAGTACTCATTTATACCAGGTAAAGATGCCTAAAATTCTGACCAAGTTAAAGACCATCTGCTCCGATTGAACTCTGTGGATGTGTTCATGCTGACAGTCTAGAGCTGTATTTCATCATAAGTGCTTCTGAAGGCAAAATGACAATGCGATAGGTACCGTCTCGGTCCTGCTAATCCTACAGCATACTTGACTAAAGCCACTTTGGAAAATTGACTGAAGGGAATTACAAGTCTGTAGTTTGCTAATGAAGATGTCAGTTGATCTTGTTCATGCTGAAGGCTTTAGCAACTTCCCTCTTTGTTTCTCTAACTTGTACCAGTTTCACCAGTAGTAGTAATGGAAAGAGCATTTTTGTAGACAAATAGCTGGCATTTTCAACAGCCTATCTTCTTGGAATATAAGACACTATGACAAAAACACCTGAAGCAAATTTACAAGCACTTCCAGCCAGATGCAAAATATTTTAAATCTCCATTCTGAAAAGCCAGAGGATCTATCTATCTATACAGTCCAAGCATCAGCTCTCAGTATAACTAGATTCCCTCAAACCACAGGCTCAGACAACAGAATTGTTACTTGGCTCAAAGTACTGTGTAGTTTACAGGGTATGAAGCAGAGGATAATATGCTGACAGTGCCTTTAGAGAAATGAAAAGTACATCTGCTCTGTGGGGCCACTTAAAACTGGCAGGGCATTCTTTTTACAAGAAAATTTGACCTGATGTCCTTGTGCAAGTACAGCTTGACTGCTGTACTGCGTAGGTACTACACGTGTAGTTACCAGCATTTTATTGTCATTTGGAACAAAAGACAATATACAAATGTCAGCTTTACTTCTACTATAAATGTAGGCATAACTTTTTAATGTCATCTTTACCCAACTGGTCTTTACCTCTACAGCACGTGAAAACACTGTACATGATTATATATTACTGCTTGTAGAACTGTATATTTTGCTAGGGATTTAGACTTGGAAACTCTTCAGATTAACATGGTGACCAGTCCACTAGGAATAATGTGCTAAAATGTTGTCATAGGAACAGTACTTATGCATTGTGCTAAGTCCATTTCCAAAGCCATTTCATTAACATCACTTTCAAAACTAACTTAGTCTAGTTCCAGGCTGGAACTTTAAATATACATTTAAAGTATATATTATGTCACGATAGATTGCAGCAACTCAAGGACTGATATTTTTCTTTCCTTTTCTTTCCTCTACATTTACATGGAGCTTGGGCAAATATTTTGGGATTGTGAAAGTGGAAGAGGACAGGCACGTTCACCCGCACCTCATTTAACAAAAAATCTGTTCACAAAGAAGGTTGAAAATCTCTTACAGAATTTTGCATATAGTAATCATAGATTCCCCTATAGGTAACTAAAACAGAGGTCAAAAAAGGCATTTTCTCAACTGTACTGAGTCTTAAGATCAGGACTGAGGCAATTTAGGGGTAATTATAAACTCCCTATATGGAAAAACATTTAGAGGACAATAGAAAGAGCCAAATTCTGGATCTTCTTATGGAAAAGAATTTTGTAGAAAACAGGCATGCATTTTTGCATGAACTAGTGCTTTCTTTGCATAGACTAACATTTCACACACATACACACACTGTGATTTGTGTGATTTCTGTGGTGAGTTTCTATGCCACAGCTGCAAATGGGTGACCCTTGCAAGTTTCTGTGCTGACTTGTGAAGAAACCTGATCACTGAAATGGAAGCCTTGGACATTCCAGCCCATTACAGACCCATTTTTAGCCAAGCCCTAGTCCCAGCAAAGTCAAGTACCATCAGTTAACCATTATGAAAAAGTATATTCTTAAATCACTAGTAGTATGCATACAATATACTACTACAGTATATACTACAGATACATACGCTAGCTACACGTCTCATTTAGAAGAGAGTAGATAGAGGAGCAATCAAGATGAAAGTCTGCCTTCATAAACAATGTATAGAATTGTGCTACCTGGCCTAATAGAAGAGGCACAGCTACCCAAAGAAAAAGTACCTTTAGTATTGAACTGTCCTTCTTTATATTCTTTATTAATAGCAATTAGCAATTTCAAAGTCCTGATATATTCTAGTAAACTACTCCAGTTCTAATTGTTCAGAACTATCAGACAGCGATCTCATAAAAACGATGCACGCAGAAAGTTCCCCTGTACTCTTGTGGAGCTCCAGTGATTTTAGTGAAAACCGGCATAGTTATATTCAGAATGTAATGTAGGAACAAAATAGTGAATAGTAATTTTTGGTGTTAGGCTGGAAATCTGAGCTGTCAGTATAGAATTACCTTATTTGGATAAGGTCAATCTTTGTGGAATAAGGTTATCATCTTAAAAAACCCTGTCAATGTACCCTCCACTTGATGCAGTAAACTTTCTGGCAATTTTTATTGTGACATAATAAAAAATGGACATAATGTTTAGATTACACTAAAACTTGAAGTGATTCTCAAGCATTGATAGCCTTTGTGATTCATGACTTCTTTCTATTACAGATCCTGACTTCACTTACCTAGGAGGTATTTTAAATCCCATCCCAGGTCTGGTATTACAGTAACAATTTCTTTATACGTGAAATTTTAAATTAATACCATATTGCATTTGACAGCAAGGTATATGTTCTCCCTAGACTGTCAATTTGAGCTCTCGGGAGCTGATGGAATAGTACGTTCCAGTCAAGTTGAACAAGAAGGAAAAACAAAACCGGGACAAGCAGTTGACTGCATATGGACAATTAAGGCTACTCCAAATGCTAAGGTGGGTTTCATTCATATCATTCAGAATATAATGGGTTTCCAAGTCATTAGTACAGGTAATAGTCACTAGTTGTGATTTGCATAATGTCTCACTTTCACTGAAATTAATTACCTGCCGGTGGTTTAGGAAATCCAGATAGAGGATTATTTCTGAAATTAAATTTATACAGCAAGTCCACAGTGTTGTCTTCCTGTTATTTGAAACTTAAAGACAAAATAACTGGGAAAACTGCTTAAGCAACAACTTTCAAGGGCATTTGACTTGGACTCTGGTTTTATTGGAAGACCACAGGCAAAAATGCTGGCTAACAGCTTTGATAAATTTCAGTAAATCTTGCTGCCATGATTTAAAATTTTGTCTCCAGTGGTTCTACTGTACCTACTCCTCCTCAGTCTAATTCACAGTAGAGCACCTTAAAACCCACTTTCATCAGCAGTCTGAGTTAAAATGAAAGACTTGACCCGGAAACAGTTGAGGAATTATCACTCTTTCTCTTCTGACTTTGCTATAGGATCAAACCCTCTTTGCCACAATAAAAATGACAGCTATATGTTTCAGAATCATATACTTGTTAATTACTGATGAGTTGCAGTAAAGAATACTTTTTTTTCTCCATATAGCATACACATCTGTAATTTTGTTTCTGTATATGGATTAAAGCACATACCCTGCTTAAATGTACATAAAAGTTAAAAAATATTTTAAAGCAGTAGCTGCCAAGACGACAAACCTACTCTACACCTTCTTACACGGTCCAAAGAGTTAACTAACCAGCCCTATTCACCAACTTCGAAATTAGTTCTAAAGCAGGAGCCTAAAAATGGTAATAAGAGGACAAGATAAGAAAGAAACTGAAACTCCATTAATATATTTGAGCCTTTGAGGAAGTGACTCAACTCCCAAGAGCCCTAAGTAATAGTAGCAGTTCTTCCAGAAACAATAATAAAACCATTTTCTCTTTACATTGCCAATTGAGTGCACCAGGTCTTACGCTTAAGTATTTTAATAAATTATTGAATGTTGCCAGCAGGCAGAGTTATAGTTGGGTCAGTCTTGAGATTAGATCATCATCCTAAATTATTGAGTTAAAACATTACAGAAAAATAATTCTTAGTATTCTCACAGTGGTTTCTCAAGCTTCAATTCTGGCAGAATTATGATGATAAAGTCCATTAGATCTGATATGGTGCTGTCTCTTGAGAAAAATAAGCATAGACATTTTTAATTTCCTCAATTTGATTTTGTAATAAAAATAAATTTTAAAAACTGAGACAACTGCAGCAATAAAAGGACTTGTAGAATCTGCATAACAGATATTTAATAAATTACCTCCAGATCTCAGAAAATTACTAGAATAATCAATATAATCTAAGAGTAAAGACCTTTTTATACTTACTTGCCTAACACAGTAACCACAAGGAGCTTTCGCAGAGCTGAGCTCTTTTAATGGAATTATTTCTTTGTTTTCATACACAGAAATAGCTCTATTAAGTGTGCTGATTTATTTTTAGCTTCCATTGTATTTCACTGCAGACATACAATGTCAATCATTAAATGAAAATACCATCTCTCAGCCCAAATACTAGAGCTTGCAGCTCACACCCATGTTTGTGAGATAAGACACCAGTGGAAGACAAGTTCTCAATGTAGCTGAGAATTTCCAGCAGTAAATGAACAATGACAGCAGGAAAAAAAAAAAGGAGAGGAAAAAAAAGAAAAAACCCCACATATACTGAAAATCACAAAACAGTGAAATGCAGCATGAGATAATATGGCACAGGCTGCACCTTTTCACAGAACGTGGAAGGGGAGACAGTGCCAGCAACCTGCCTCTGGAAAGGAAGAGCCAGGGTGTACAAGTATCACCTGTCTTGTACTGTGCTCTTTTAGTGTGTTTTCAATAGAGCCTGTTAAGTGTACATGGAGATATCTTTTTTTCTTCCCCCCAAACAAAGGTGGTTGATTTTGTTTTAGTGAATTCTTTAACATTCAGTTTTAAAAGGCTTTAGCACTAGCTGAGGTTAAAAGCGACATGTAGCAAAAGGTCAGAAAAATAGGTGATACAGCACTAGTAAGCGTGCTGTGGTATTCTTCTACTGTCTTCCCTCTTTCACACATTATACAAGAGTTTGAGACTATTGTCATTAGGCAGATGCGTGAAAAACCACGCTGTGCAAAAGTCTTTAGCATCTATAGTATGCGCTGGAGAGGTAATTGTAAACTGTACTCAAAATGCATGCAGTCTACACCCGAGCTTATCTGAGGAACATACTGAAGACCTCATGGACAGAGAAAGAGCACCTCTTCTCCCATGGAGCAGGAGACCTCAGGCTCCACATGAATAGATTTCCTCTCTGTCAAAATAATGGCTATGAGAGGAATTTTTAAACTTTAAAGATGGGCTTTGCAGCATGCTTAGGTGACTTGGTTACATATCTCCTCAACTTGCACTAGAATTTTAAGAATACCAATACAAAAATTCAAGACATTAAAAAGCCCTTGATCTTTTCATGTAATTCTGACTGAATTACAATCTTGCACAAGTTTCCTGCTCCAGCAAAATAAATTACTTGCTTCTCCTCCAGTGCCATCTTGTTTTTCTAATTACCTTGCTGCATGTGTTCTATCACATACACTGCCTTCCCTTGGATTAGATTTTTGCTTTTGGAAGAATTAAGGTTGGTTTAAAACTTACTAACTTTTCCTAGATAGCCAGCTTACTTTTCTCCTGCTTCCATTTTTATTCAAATTACTCCTGACTTCATGGTTTATGTCCTCCATAACAATGCTATGGTTAAGTAGCTTTCATTTTGACGCAACAAATTTTAAATTTCCTTATTTTACTTCGGAGCTTTTCTAACTAGACCCCTTCCCTTACATTTTAACATTGTTTTTATGAATTAAAAAGAAAGACAAGAGAACAGTCAAAATATCATTAAAATTCTTTCAGCAGATTTATGCATTTCATGTATCTCTTCCAGAGTAATAGACTACGCATTTAGCAGAGCTGCTTAGGGCTTTTTTCAGCAAGCGTGTTGCTTTTTACTTCTGTCCAACGGGAGCAGAAATACATCAAAGCAAATTATTAAGTAAAGATTGTTTTGGGAAAGGGGGGAGAAGTGAAACAGATACTTAAGACAAATTTCAAGTAATATTCCACATTGACATTTAAAGAGAAAATGTAAGTTTAAGTGTTGTGAGAGTTACACATATGTGTAAGAAGACAAAACCTCTTATTCAAGATTTGCTAAGAAAGAAAACTGTCTTCTCTATATTACTTTTCCTAGAGGCATTAATTTCTCTTTTCTAACAGATTTATTTGCGATTTCTCGACTATCAAATGGAGCATTCAAATGAATGCAAAAGAAACTTTGTTGCTGTATACGATGGAAGCAGTTCTATTGAAAACCTGAAGGCAAAGTTTTGCAGCACTGTAGCAAACGATGTCATGCTGCAGACTGGGACAGGTGTGGTACGAATGTGGGCAGATGAAGGCAGTAGACTAAGCAGATTCAGAATGCTATTCACTTCATTTGTGGATCGTAAGTAGATTTTAAAGTGCTTATTCACCTGGTATCAGGGTACTTCAGGTATTTTAGGAAAAGCATCAGCTATATATTATGCAGCAGGAACACACAAAAAAGGTTATTTCCATTTCCTTCATCTACTATCAGGTAAATTAAATACTTGTTTTATTACAGTTATAAGCATGGTTCCTGAAGAAAGGCTTTCCTCCACTCTTAAAAGCTTTATTTTTCATTTGAATTCAGTAATAATACATCCCTAGACTATGTCCTTCTCACAAAGAGTTCTACAAATAAGCACAGACTTACTTAAAAAGACAGCAATTGGACTGAAGTGTGCGCACCCACTAGCCCCCATCTTGCAGTTCCCTGCCTGACACCACAACAGGCTCTTGTCAAGCCCACACTGGATGTTCAGAAGTGTTAGAAAACACATGTGACCCTGCAGAGTCTGGATCTTCTTCCCATCCACAGCCCTACCTTCAGTTTCAGATCTGGAACTGCACCCAGTCCAGCTACATCTAAGCTGCTACCTCCTCCTCCTCAGCCGCATGTGGCTCGAAACAGTCCCACACATGCTCCCTTCGCAAAGCCCAGCTGTGTTGCACAACCATGGATAAGGACTCAAATTCAAATTTATTTAAGAAGGCTATATTAAAAGCAGAGCTGTAAATGCAGTCCGGTTTTCTGTTTGGATCCCATAGCCTGGGTTAGAGATCATCTTTATTCTCATTGTAAATGAAGATGTTTCTTGAAAGTGTGCGTTTTGTGATATTTTCTTGTAAGTGCTTTTTGCTCTGAACTTAGTGGAATTTTATTGCCTCACTTACTTGCAAAGGACAACATCGTCCACATTGCAGAACCTGAAAATAAGCGGCATCTTCAGCATAAAAGTAGACTAAGTTTAGAACTGCGGAACGGATCCAAGATACATGGGGAGAGCTGAATAAAATATATCTGCCACTTCAGGAAATCAGACCTATGCTTGTGCTAAAGGTTTTCAAAAAGTTCTGCTTGAAGAATAAATAGCATATCTCTGCTGTCAAAGAAATAATGTTTTTGACAGAACTAATGTGTCTGTAGCCAGTCCTGAAAGGAATCTTTGTCACCACACCTTGCAAAAAAAGTTCAGGTTATAGGTAACAAGTAGATTTCATATTCTGTGCCATAAAACAGTGAAGTTTAACACAGGAGAGAAGTTACTTTAGAAAGACTTTTAGAGAAAGTAACAGAGACTTGTAAGAGAAGTAACTTGTTGCTTACCTGGGTGCATGGTAGTAAGAAACAATCATATGTTTCAAACTAGTGTATTGTTTAACCTACAATAGGCATTTAATAAAGTTTAGATATTGTGAATTTCAGTAAATGTCAGTTTTCAGCACAACTTGCTTGCAAAATTTATAACTGCTTTTCCAATAGCTTTTATTTCAATACATTTCTTAATATTAGTGATAGTGCAAGTTATTCCAGTTTTCAATCTAGAAAATGCTATGAAATTTGCCAGGGAAGTTATCCATCTATATTATAAGTATTGGAGTGGGTTTTTTTGTTGAGTTTGGGGTTTTTTGTGCGGGGTTTTTTTTTTTTTTTTTTTGAGTACAAGAGGGTGAAACAGTAACTACTCCTAAACCTAGAGAACTTTCCAAACTTACAATTTTAAAGCAACTCAAAAGTCATTGGCAGAAGAAAATCTGCAAAGGTACGTGGTTATTCTTATTTATCTTCTAACTTGGGATACTGTCTTTCTTGGATAGGGTAATTCAAAAGTATGTGTCTGCAAAATGTTTCATGTATTTTTAAATAACATAGTGATAAGCAATTTTTCTAAATTAAAATAGTGAATCCATGCTTATCTTATTTTCAGATCGTTAAACTATTTTGCTCTTATACCTTACTAGTGATTTGTAATTATATGAAGCCAACCATGAAAATAATCAATATTTCTGAAAGGGTTTACGTAAATGAACTAATTGTGCACGACAGTCACCTAACACACACCTAGTGCTGCTTGCAGATTTTACTAAGTAATTCAGCTAACAGCAATGTTAAAAATCAATGTATTTGATTTCTGGCTTGATTGAATACATGAATAATGATAGATATAAAGAACACTGTGTACATTGCACCAGTCTTAGGCAGCTGTTGTGAGAGGAGTCCAGCTATGTCCTTGAAGTCCTGGACTGGAACCAATCAATCATTGTGACTTTTAGACTTTGTACTCCCCAAATAAGAAACAAAAGGAAAATTAAGTCCATTTGTCCCATCTTTATAAACTTGTGAACAAAAGCCATGTCCAAAAAATGTTAAAGAGACTACACAGAATGTAAAATAGAGACTGTGCCGGCAGATGGAGAAGCAGCAGCAGAATGTATTATCCAAAAATACAGAAACATGAAAAAATTTCCCTGTTCAGGAAAATAAGAAAAGGAATGTGTCTTGCATCATAATGCTTCCTCTGTGCCTCCAAAAGAGCTACAACCCCATAGGAATCCATATTGAAACACCAGCAGATACACATGGATCCATGACAACCACTCTGGACACAAATTTCATAGAGCCTCCTTTGTATCGCAGTCAGAAATATTTTAGTAGATGTTGTGGCCTATTACATACATACATAGCTTTTTTAAGCTATTCTGTTTAAACGATGATCCTATTTATCCGTTATAAAGTAAAGCTTGCCCAATCTTTCTTTACAAATTCAGAAAGAAAAACTACCTAAGTATTTTCTCCCCACATGTGCTAACAAGGCCAAGAGCCTTTTGTTTTGTAGTCTGCATCATGAACATTTCCGTTTTAACTATTAGTCTTTCTCCCATTATATATATATATAATGGTTAGAAATGTTGAGTACATCTTCCTGTTTCTGTGAATTGCTTCAGGTTGTCTGGGATACCTATTTTTGTATCTAGGTTGATACTCATGCGTAAGTTTTAGTCTGTCATCATTTAGTCCTTCAGAGAGAAGGTGTGAATCCCTTTGGAATTTAATTGCAGCATCATTTTGGACAATACTTACATCATGACATACCATGATTTCACATGGTGCTTACAGATTAATGCTTACATTGTGTCTTAAACCATTAATGATGTGAATTGCCTTAGCATCCACTCTTGATACATTGTAGGCGGTAGTTTGGTACACCAACACAACAACAACTGGGTTCCTTTATATTTTCTTTCCTAAATAGTAGCAGTTGGTGAAACAGTTAAAGACTTAAGTAGTTAAGTCTGAAGGTAGGAAAATGTTTGATTTATTCTTCCATTTACTAGGTAATTGCATGGTTGTACTTAAAAAAAAAAAGTCCCACTGAATCGTGTCCCACTGAAAAATGGTTTGGCCCTTGAAACAAAGTGGGCATAAAACGTTCTTGAAAAGAGGCAGTTGGTTTAGAAGCTTAACTAGGAAGTGTGTCTATGTGAAGAGGATCAAGGAGAGGAGGTTTCCCAGGACCATATGCAGGCAGTTGCTGAACATCTCCAGGGATGGAGACTCCACAGCTACTCAGGCAACCCATACCAGTTAGATGCTCCATGTCCTTATCTTCATGCCATTTCCCTGGATCCCCCTGTATCTGTTTTGTACTGGTGACCCCAACACTGAGCATAGCGCTCCAGATGTGGCCTCCCAGTGCTGAGCAGAGGGGAAGAATCACCTCCCTTGACCTGATGGCAATGCTGTTCCTAATACAGCTGAGGATGCTGTTGCTTTTTTTTTTTTTGCTACAAGAGTGCATCACTGTCTCACATTCCGCTTTTTCTCCACAAGGACTTCCGAGTGTTTGTCTTCAGAGATGCCTTCCAGTCTATATAACATGGAGTTATTCCTCTGCACCTGCAGGACTTTGAGTTTCCTTTTGCTGGGGGAAACATTACAAAGTTCCTGTCAACCCATTCCTCCAGCCTGTCTCAAACAGCAGCACAACTGCTTGGCTTATCAGCCACTCCTCCCAGTTTTGTATCATCTACAAACTTGCTGAGGGTGCAGTCTGTCCCAACATCCAGGTCAGTAATGAAAAGGTTAAACAGTGTGGGTCTCACTGTTGACCCCTGGGGTATACCACTAGTGACAGCCTCCAGCTGGACTTTGTGCCTCGTATCACAACCCTTTAAGCCTGGCAGTTCAGTCAGTTTTTAGTCCACTTCACTGCCCTTCCATGTAGTCTGTACTTCATCAGTTTCTCTACAAGGATATTATGGGATACGGTTTTGAAAGCCTTGCTAAAGTCAGGATGTACAATATCCACCACTCTCTCCTCATCTAAGCTAGTAACTTCATGGTAGAAGGCAATCAGGTTGGTCAGGCACGATTTCCTCATCAAAAAATCCATGCTGACTACTCCAGATGACTTTCTTATCCCCAATGCATTTGGAAACAGATTCCAGATTAATTGCTCTATCACCTTCCGAGGCATCGAGGGAAGCTCCCCTCTGCCCCATTCAGTAGGCCCTTATTTTTCGTGGCCTTCCTTTTGTTGCCGATACACTTGAAGAAGCCCTTCTTTTTGCTTTTCATGTCCCTCGCCATACTCAACCCCAGGTAGGCTTTGGTTTTCCCAGACCCATCCCTGCAGACTCACTGTGTCTGTACAGATTCCTACCAGGGAACCTGACCCTGCTTGCACCTAAGATGACACCTCATTCATAACCAATGCCATGGGTATGATCTATACCTTTCTAAGTATTGATCATATTTTAAAGCAGTGTTCTTCAGACTAAATCTACTTTCCAAACAATTAAATTCTCAACTCAGTGGAGCAAGGAAGATACATGTGATAGCTGCCATGACCTTTTTAAGCACTGAAATTACATAGATAAACTCTTCCAAAATACACTCTAAAGTTCTATATTACATTAAAGTACTACAGCACTTGCGCTACAATTAAAGCACAGGCTTTCTATATGGAACATCTTGCCAGGGGTTAAGCAGTAACAGGAAGCTAATATACACAAGCTTAAAACCAATGAGCATAGGTTACCAAAATTCAGTGGAGTAAGAAACAGAAAGACAAGCTGTATTAAATTTAGGAAATACAAATTCAGAATTAAAGGTTTGAATTTTCTTTTCTTTTAGGCATAACTCCTCTTTTTGTCACTGAGACTCTGAAGCCTACCAAAAGGACTAAGCGAGAAAAACGCTGTATTCAGGGCTAGTCACCTTCCTCCGCTGTACTCTTTGGGTTTCACATCATGTTTCAGAGAATCCAGGCTGCTCAAGAATAAATTCTTTCTATGAAACCAAATAGTAGAATGTCTGTCACACATCTTTGTGGTTTAATATATGACTCCAATAATAACATACATTTCTATCATTAAAACATCCACATTAGTGAGGCAGAGAAAGGGAGGGGGAATCAATTTCTTGTCCAGTGCTCTGAATTCATAAAGAATTCCCTATATATATTATACAACATCCTGAAAAGAATTATTACTATTCTTTCCAATATATTTTTCTAATGTCAAGGAGCTATAACAAACATTCACGGAAACATAAAATCTTCAGGGCAACTTTCTCGTTCATTTATTATTTCAAATTTATAACTATATATAGACAGATAGATAAAAAGCTGAACTGTACTCTCTCTTAATCCCTGCATTAGCTCTAATAGGAGGATCTAAGAGCTTTGATTCACAAGCAGGAATGACTTAGATGCCTCCAGTTACTGAAATGTCTTGCAATTACTGACAGTCCTCCACAAGCTGAAATCTGATTTGCCTTAAGATACTAATGGGCTCTAAAATGCAGATGTTCAGGAACTGCTTCACAACCAGCTATACCATCTACATAGCAGATGCACAGCAGATTGAATAAATATATAATTGACAGCAAGCATGCGATTTTTAAGTATTAAGTTTTTAAAGACAAGTATTAAAGCTTTCTTCCATTATCTGTGTTGTGTGACTGTCTCTAGCTGCTACCCATTTTAAGCAAGAAGGTTTTTTTGTATCATTGATAATACACCTGAAAGCAACCTCATGAAGAGAGAATAAATCATACGATAATTAGTGATGTGCAGGAAAAGTGATTGTGTTTGAAACAGAGGTAAAGAATGAGTTTGCATGTTAAAAAAGTAACAGGAATTTACTAGTTTTATTGCAATGCATCAATTACTGAATATTCCTAATGTTTTCTTTCTCTCCTGCAGCTCCCTGCTCAGGCAATACTTACTTCTGCCATAGCAACATGTGCATCAATAATTCTTTAGTCTGCAATGGCATTCAAAACTGTGCATACCCTTGGGATGAAAATCACTGCAGAGGTGAATATAGTGCAAAGTGTAGCCTTTATGAGCTAGGCTGGTCAGTTTGCCTTTCAAGGAAGTAATGAAAAGGCTTTTTCCTGGAAATATGCTGAAGACAGCTATTTTATTAATCTCAGGAAGGTGTTCCAAATTTTTTATTTAAACTCAGGAAACATGTAAGAATCCTGAATATTGATCTTACTGAATTCTATTTCCTGTTAAGCTGACATCCTTTTAAAATAGAGTATATGCTGAAGAGGAGGAAATTTAATTATAAAGCAGTATTTCCCAGGTTGCATCCTATTCATTTCTAAACTTTAAATGAAGCAAGGATCATAGGGACAGGTAATACCTTTTATTAGAGAAAAGAAATATAGAGTTGGAAAAGACAGACAAGCCTTCAAGCACAAATAGCCTTTCTCAGGACTGAAATAGAAGCAACAATCTTCAAAGACAAATACTATTTTAAAACATTTATTTTCAGTTGTTAATTACACTGTCTCAGAGTAAATGCAACTGCTGCATATGGTGTGAGAAAGGGTGGGAGGAAGGAGGAATTGTTAGGAGGCAAGAAGTCATCAAAATCACTGCTTCTATAACACAGGGCAGGGGAGGATTGTTTAAACCATCAAACTACCGTAAAGACTTGTTTCAATATCAAGTTTTGAAAGAAACAATCTCATGATTTGAGGAAATAGTTATTCTGCTAAAGCACAACTATATTCACCTGTGCTTCAACAATAACTGAATTTGAGTTGGAACAAAACCAGCTTAAGGTCAACATTTTTTCTTGGTAAAAGAAAAAAAAAAAAGAAACAACAACTTAAGCTTGGGCTTTTTTGACAAATGGAATAGTATAAATAGGTCTTAACACAAAACTCCAGAAAGGTTTAAATACATACTCCACTGCAAAGATAAATGGACCCTGCAGGAGGGGTCAAAACTTCCTTGATAGAAAATTTGAAATAAAATGGCTTTTCAACACACAAATGCAGCTTAATTTTTTTAGTAAAGAAATATTACTTTGAAACTGCATTTTGAGCAAACAAAAACATTCACACCACCAATACTCCACTGCAAGGTATATTATGGAAGCTTTCCAGTTAACAAAACTGATCCATAACTCCCAAGTTTTCAGTGTAAAAGTAAGCTTCCTCTAAACAATCTTTAGCTTTGATAATATTCCATGTGCCTCCCTCAGTGCCATTTCTAGATCTTTTTCCCATTTCTACCAACTTCTTTCTAGAATCTTGCCTAGAATCCACACTTCACTCACGTGCAGTATTTAAAAAAATTAATTCCATAAAGACTGTATCACAATGCAAAGAAAGAGTCTTTCCCGATATTTGTAAATTGCTGTGTCTGGTGCCAAATAACCTTCCGTGTTTTATGTTGAACACAGTCTAAATTCTGCTTTCATACTTGCATAATTAAGAGACAGCTGAAGACTGGATCCATATCGCCAGCTAAGATAGACTGAAGGGACACTGATGCAACCAAATGAGCATATCTAGCCTTAAAAAGAAAGTTTTTCACAATAGTGCGCAATTCCTGCAGGTACCCAGAGTTCTCATTTAGTCTGTATCAATAGCTACTGAAATCTGAGCATATTGTGACCTACTTTATGCCTAAGCCCAGTGACACAAAAATTGATAGGAATGTCAGTGGTGTACAATTTCTTTTTAGAGACTGGAGAAGAAATCACCTTTTGCATAAAATCTTCCAAGAATTAAGAAACCTAGATGCAGATGAGAGAACTGCCATCGCACTGAAATGTATACGTCCCACAAAACATGGTAACATTAAGATCTAAGCTAGGCAGGACAAGGGGAGAACCTCCTTCACATTGAAGGTATAAATATAACTCAGAGTAAAGAGTATAAGCTCTAAAATAGAACTGTATTTCAGACATAACTTCTTCTTGGTCAATTCCTTGGGAGTCTGCTTAGTAGATGGATTGTTTCAAGGAGCATATGATGATACATAACTCTCTCTGCATACACTGTGTGTGGAGTACTTAGGGGCATAACACACATACCAAGATATCTGAAAATAATATGCAACGTTCAGGCTACCACATTTTCTTCTACATAGTCTTAAATGCTTTTCTCCCCAACAGCAGATGTTGCAGAGTCTCAGCGTAGAATTCTTTTAGCCCCCTAGTACAAGTACGTTTACAGAACAGAAATCCAACTATAAAATTTTAATCTTCAAATAAGAATTTTAAGTATGGAAAAACATGATGTTCTGATGCTGCCATCTTGTGTGTTTTCATATGAAGTACTAGCCAAAAGTGCCATATGATTCAGGTTGGTTGGGTCACCCCCTGCTCCCCTCCTCTCCTTTTTTTTTCCCAACTGACTTGATTACTGGACTGCTATAACTGGAGTATATCTATGCTAAAGCTCCCTGTGTTGAAACAGGTATAACAGACTTACACAATAGGCAGTGTCATTAAATTTCCAAGAGATGTGAAAACAAATAGTACAGTCAATCTTACGTCATCACTAATATTTCACTTTAAGAAGTGGGTAATTTTAAATCTAGGTTTCCTTCTACTGACATCAATGGGAAGGCTACCAGCAGGTGCAAACCATGGTAAGAGAAGCATCATCTGTAGCTGTATAAAATCCTATTTAAACTCATAGATTTTGGAATATGAATTGATGAGTATAGGTTCAGGATTGAAGCCACATCCCAGCCCAGTCAGCCTGTACTGTCCACAGAGTTCCACCTGCCACTGAGTTATCATATGGCAGCCACTAATGCAGCCAGGGAATTAGACTTGCTGAACAAATGCACAGATCCAGTATGATAAATCCCATTGACATACAGGTCTAGTCTGCAATGCCATTAAGTAATTTCATTAATACAGCACTTAGATGGCAATCAATACAGCTTGCTTCCTTTTAATACATGATCAAAAGTGTGAGAAAATAATAAAAGCCTGATCGTAATCCTAATTTTTTATTTGCAGAAAAGAAAAACGCTGGATTGTTTGAACAAATCACCAAAACTCATGGAACAATCATTGGCATCACATCGGGGATAGTTTTAGTTCTTCTCATCATTTCAATTCTAGTACAAGTAAAGCAACCTCGCAAAAAGGTTATGGCTTGCAAGACTGCTTTCAATAAAACTGGTTTCCAGGAAGTATTTGATCCTCCACATTATGAACTGTTTTCACTAAGAGACAAAGAAATTTCTGCAGATTTGGCGGATTTATCAGAAGAACTTGAAAGCTATCAGAAAATGAGACGTCCTTCAACAGCTTCCAGATGCATTCATGACCACCACTGTGGCTCCCAGGCCTCTAATATGAAACAAAGCAGGACAAACCTCAGCTCCATGGAACTTCCCTTTCGCAATGATTTTGCGCAGCCTCAGCCAATGAAAACATTTAATAGCACATTCAAGAAGAGTAGTTACACTTTCAAACAAGCACATGACTGCCCTGAGCAAGTCATAGAAGACAGGGTGATGGAGGAGATTCCATGTGAAATCTATGTTAGAGGAAGAGAAGATACGGCACAAGGTTCATTATCTATTGACTTTTAATTTCCTAGTGAAGGTGGTATCAGTGTATATACAAGAAGCTGGTGTATAATGACAGTATATGTATTAAATATGTACTATATGCAGCGTGTGAGATGCACACACTTTTAGCTTATTACACTTCATTTAGGAAAAAACCCACAAATTCTTCATAACTAATTATTGCTGAAAAATGGTGGATTTCCTCCCATCTTCCTAAGCTACCTATCTAGTGGAGGAGTAAGACAGAGACTTTGCATGGAAATAAGTTAAGGTTATTGGAAGGAAAAAAAACCCAACAACTACTAATCATTGAACACTGAAAACAATGACTACTATTCTCTTCCTCATATCATTTCCTCTTCTTTAGATGTCTGCTTTTCAAGACAATTTTAATACCTCAGTTATGAAAATAAAAGTGCACCACGTGTATGTCAACATAGGTGTCTTATTGTATTTGTCAAATTGAAAGTAGAGTTAGTGTTAAGTGCCAGTTAAGACTCAAGAATTATGTTACAGCCACCTGTTTCATCTTGCCTACCATTTATACTGCCTTTAATTATCAGTCCCTTACTCTCTGCTTTGTGGGAAATAAGTATGAAAGATTGCTGCCTTTCAAAAATATTGAGTTATATTCATTTTACTACATTTGGAAATATATAATCTTTGCAGCTTTTGATTAACACACAAGTACTCATGTTATTCTAGATGTAGACTTTTACAACAGTTTTCTTTCAAGAAGGTTTAGGATTTTAAAATATTCTGCCATATATTATAGATCCATATGGCTCACTGATTTCACAGCTCTGTAGTTAGAAAATGTTCCTGCATTTTCCAAGTATTTACATAAATAGACTTTACTGTACATTTGTATATTAAAATAGCCTTTTACTCCTTATCACAGCCAATATTCCCTACTGAAATCAGTGATGATACTTTTAGCTCATGTCCTACTTGCCTGAAGAGAACAGCTCTGAGGTCTATGTGACTACCAGGTATATGAAGATACTGGAAACAAAGGAAAAAAAATCCCAAAGCAACTCTTATTAAACCTTACAGAACCCTTCTTGTGCCCCTTGTTTCCACTTGGAAAATTGCACGTTTCATACCTTTTTTAATGGTGGTTTGGACCTAATTTTAAAATTTTTACAATATAGAAAATTTTTTAAAATATGATGATTCTCATTGTGGTTTTTAAACTTAAACTTTTTATATAGTTTGATACTGTACAGACTATTTATTAAATCAAAATCTAGTTCCTGTACAGCAGGCTTGTTTCAGTGTCCATAATAGCAGCGCTGAGTAATGTGCAGTGGCTGCTGCATACATTGCAATTTGCCAAGAAATACTTAATATGACTTCCACATTAGTCTACATTTTATTCCCTGGTTTCTTTGGGCTATTCTGGTATTTTGTTTACAGGAAACCTTTCACCAAAAGGTGAAATATTTAATTAAAACAGTTCTCGATAGATTTCATTTACTTCTCATTGATTTCAGTAATAAATATCTCACCATGACCTATTATTACAGAATGTTATTTGTGATGGTCTGTTAGTTCCAGATTCTTTCAACAAGTAATATGTAGTTTTACGTAGGTCATTTTTGTCCATATAACTCTTGTAAGTGGTAGATTTGCATGATTAAGTTTTCTTTTTAAGGTATATTTGTCCATGTGATAAAAATAATGTGATCCCTGTTCTTTCCTAAGTAATGTTGTCTTTGAACAGTAAATCTGTAATAATAAAACAAATAGCAAGCCTCTAAAGCCCAAGTCTGTGGCGAAAAGGGGAAGCTCTATTGAAGAAGTTCCCAAATGGCCGGAATAATATTTCAGTCTCAGTTGTAACTTTTTGATTACATGGTCAGAACACAACTACTTTTTGGCTTCCCCAGAGCTTATAGGTGAGCTCCCATAACCAGTCATGCCTTTTGTGCATAACTTTTTCCAATATCCCCAAGCCCAGCTCTACAAGCTTTGCTTTCCCCCCCTTCCTTGCTTTCTATTCTTTTCTTTGTCTTTAGCATAAAGATAAGATACTCCTGCCTAGTTAACACCTGCTCCCGATTCCCAATACAGATCAAAAACTCTCCTGGAGGGAGCTTTTCAGTGTTTCTGTAATATTTCAGTATTTCTGCAATAGCAGACCCAACCTTTACTGTGGCAATAGCTGTGTGCTCAAACAGAGGGAAACCGAAAGTAATAATGATTTCTATACGCTTCTATAAATAGTAAGGGCAGGAAAATGAAATATCAGTGCTTATTGGAAGTAAGGCGAAGTTAACACATTGAACCTAAAAATCTGAAAGGAAAACTTGTGTGTGGTGTGTTTAAGAAATAGTGTATCTGTACATCTCATTGTAATGTTGGGTTCAGTTACTTAGCTGTGCTTTAAGAAATGAGTGGTAACTATTAAGATCCATAATTCCACTTCCATTATAACCAAATTCCCTTCACTACAGAGAAAAAACTGTGGACTGCTTGGTATCACTCAGAGGGCAGAAAGCTGACATTTTCAGCAAAAGAGTCTAGTATTGGTTTTGCAGTCTCAGTCCAGTTGGAGCCGATATTGTGGTCTTTAACCTCTGTTATTCATGAAAAACACCACCTTTAATATTCTTGCAGTATCTAAGTACTTTTAGCATATTTCCATTGTCTCCATCTTAAATCCATACATTTCTAGGAGCATCCCAATTTTGCACTCAGTTGTACCCATATCTCCAACACCCTCCATTAACATTGAATGCACATAAACAAAGACACATTCCCTGGACACACATTGACCAGGAAGAGGCCAACAGCATTAACTACTTTTTGATATTTATAATTAATTTTTACCTTGTATCATAGTAGCTTCGACAAACTGTCTAACATGAAGAAGGATTTGTTGTGAATAAAAGTGTAGAAGTAAACCTACAGCCAACACGAAAATAAAAGTGACCAAGAACGCTGATTCTTGAGACTTCTGTAAAGAGACATCTTCTCAGCTTCCTGAGGAGGGGAAGTGGAGAGGGAGGTGCTCTTCTCCTTGGTATCCAGTGAGAGGACATGTGGGAATGGTTCAAAGCTGTGCCAGGGGAGAGCTAGCCTGGACATTAGGAAGCCTTTCTTTACTGAGAGGGTGGTCAAACACTGGAACTGGCTTCCCAGAGAAGTGGTCGATGCCACATGCATCTTGATGTTTAAGAGGCATTTGGACAATGCCCTTAATAACATGCTTTAACTTCTCATCAGCACTGACTTGGTCAGGCAGCTAGACTAGATGATCATTGGAGGTCCCTTCCAACTGAAATATTCTGTTCAGAGGTACCACTGTCATCATATAGGAAACTCAGACTTAACACTGTTACTGACTCTGAAATGTTTCAGTGATCACAAAAATACTAACTTGTACTTAAAATGCATGAGATTCTCTTATCTGCTATAGGCATATTATAAGAATTACTGTCTATTTTTACTAAACTAATTCAAAGAAAGGTTACAAAAAGAGTTGTCATTGACTTACAAGAAAAGGTGCTTGTCATGTGAACACTTCACAAAATTTTTAAGTCATTAAAATACACCTTTTTTTTTTCTTGGTACAGAGAGTTCAGTGCATTAGCAGCAAACCTGCTGCTAAATGAGGAGAAAAGGCTTGCCTTATTTTCAAATGAGTTTAATCCTTAAATAAGAAGATTCTTGTATCAATGATCATAGTTTGAAAACTTAAATGTTGTTAACTATAATCCTTTATCTAAAAGGCTACCAACAGCAAAAGTAATAAAAAAGATCTTAGCACCTATACCTGAGAAGCCAAGCATAAATTACTGCTTGAAATGAAACAACTTAATTCATATGGATTTACTGAAACTTATCTACAGTTTGCTCTTCCTGTCTCCATGTATCTGTTCACAGTAAAACTCAGTCAAATCCATTTACTTTTACATGTCCTTACTGCAAAGTTTATGTAGGCACCCTGTGACTGCTCAGAAGGTCTGTAGACTGTTTACCAAAGCAAGATTCCTAATGTATCTCAGCGTGAAAGATAAGCTGGTTTTACCTTATTTGAGATCCCACTGTAACAACTGAAGATTAATTATGATGGGAGAACAGATTTTAAAAATCAAAAACCTTTGAGTTGACTCATGCTTTGAAAATGAGTATTTATAGTACCTATCTCAATGTAACAATATGAAAGCTACTATCTTTAAGACTCCTGTTCCTGTGTTTTCCAATAACTATCTCTGTATAGGGTAAATCCCCCCTATAAATACACAAATAAATCACATGTCAATATGCTCTAATATGTCGTTCTGTGTCACCATGGAACTGCAAGTTTATTTTCACATTCAGCTTCCTTTGCTACAGTCCATTTCACAGTATCAGCTTAACAAAAATCTGTTTTCCATCTGTTTGATAGATCAACGCCAACAACAGTCATTTGTGAATTGTCAACTTGTTCCCTCTTATCTAGCTATTAAAGATAATCTACCAGATAAAACAGCTTAGTTTTTATAAGTCTGTTCTTACAGAGCCAGACTCAGGGAAAAACAAAGTAAGAACTTGATGCCTTTGTATGTCTTTCCATTGCCATCACTTAATTAATGGTAATAGCTTTTATATTGGAGAAACCCATTAAAAAACAAATTTATGTCAATTCTGCTCAAGAAAAAATAAGGTATTGTAATAAACCAAGTAATAGTTATTATAACCAACCAATAACACCTACACACCTAAAATTCAAAATAATTTGCTGTTTTGGAACCTGAATCATGCCTTCTGAAGAGGAAGAGCTGTCAATGCTGCCAGAGTACTTAAAGGATATGTATTATACCATCTTCTCTGAAGAACTACTTCTCCTCCCAGACACAGATTTCCTAGACATCTTTAGAGAGTTAAATCTTATTTCATTATTTTATTAATTTATATAAAAAAGTAAGCGTATAGGTTACATCTTATAATTAACCTCAAAGTACATTTTCACCTCCATAAAAGTTGCTTCTGTCTTCTTTCCAGATGTATTTAGGAGCAAGAAGTATATCATAGAAGCATTTATCATTAAACCACAGCATTTCAGAGTTTAAGCATTATGTTAATTTCTGAGTTTATACTGCAGCTTATTTTTCA